TTTAGTGTGTGAGGAACAGCTAAAAACATTTCTACATGCAAGAGCTTCCTTTTACAACACTTGTAGAAACATAGCTGAGGATTCTTCTGTTGGAAGTTCTACACAAGTGTGTCTTCCCTGTGTGTGCAGTTAATCCCAGGGACAAAATCATAGTACTGAAACCTAATTTGACTTTAGGGGAAAAAATGAGAATATCGTCTTTACCTTTGCTCCCTGAACAGTGGAGTATGTGTGAGAACTCAGCCTTCTGCTCTGTGGGGTGTCACTAACTTGACATTTGCAATCTACACAGTGTGGAAGGTGTTGGGCACCCTTTCTCCCTCCCTACTTAGGGAATGAAACCACAGGCCCCTAATGAGCGTAAAGAAATAAGGCAGTAAGAAAGAACTGATACAGTGGGTTCTGTAAGTGGACACTGGTTCCCAAAGTACCAAGCAAAGTTCTTTTTGTCTGAGGCTGTAAGCAGATTCCCTGGGTGTCTTGAGTAAGCCACCACTTTCTGGCAGCCCAAGGAGTCAACAAGGTACTACAGAGAGGTGAGAGACGATGGAAGGGCCTGTGTTCAGAGTTAGTTAACATGTTTAGATCTTGAAGAGCTGGAGATCACCTTCCTCTTCATACCTCATATGGGAAAACCAAAACCAATATCAGAAGTTGCTCAGGTCAAAACAACCAGCAATAACACTTAAGAAGCCATTGTTAACAGCCCATGTCCCTCTCAGGAAGCTTGGCTGAAGGTCAAGGCCTGATGGAGCAGTGGAGCTGGGATTAGAACCCTAGCAATCAGGCTCCTGGTTCTGAATGTTTACTGGCTGTGCCAACTGGCCTCTATATTTCTCTGTTCTGGAAAGAGGAGTGACATTCCCACCTTGGCCAACTTTGCTGTTGGTTTACAGCACCTAACCACTTTTATTCTCACAGCCAGAGTAGGGCCACAGAAAAGCCTCATTGAAGAACTAGAGTGCTCACCCACAGGCTGGTCTTCTCCATTCCCCCATCGTGGTTCTTCTGGCCATCCTCTCACCTTAGGATGATAGTTGTTTGCATTTGTTTTTCTTTTAAACAGTCAGTGCTTGTCTCCTCAGCTGATCATTTTGATTGTAAAGAGCCAGGACATGATCTGTTACTAACCACAGAAGAAAAGAAAAGAGTGTCTTCCAGGATCTTTCAAGAGAGCCTAGAGTCAGGCAGATACTGCTGTGGGCTGGGATGGGGAAGAAGATGCCTATGGCAGCTCTCTGGGAAGCTCCACAGCCTCTCTCCAGAAATCCTCTTCCCTTTTTCTTTATGCAAATACACACACACTGCAATCGCAATTGCGCTAATTAGCATCCACAGCTGGAAAACAGTCAGACTTAGAGAGACTGAGACATGTCTTACATTTTAGGGGGACAGGGAGCAGCCAGTCCTTGGTTTTCCCACAAGCCTTGCGTGGCAACAAAGAGCAGGAGGCTGGAGGGAGGCAGCAAAGCATCTAGCCTGGCCTGACTATTTTTGTCCCTACACCGGCTCAGATCAGTACCTAGTGCCAGCGTTATCCAGTAGAACTTACTGTGATGATGAAAGTGCTCTGTATCTACCTGTCCAGCACAGTAGCCGCTGACAATATGTGGCAATGGAACATTTGAAATGTGACTAGGGCAACTGAGGACGTATTTTTCTTTATTTAGTATTCGTTCATTTAAATAGCCACACTGACACAGTGAGCCACGGCCTCAGCCAAACAGAAGCCCCACACACCAGAGGCACCCACCTCTTTCCCACCCAAGCATTGCTCACCTCCCCACCACCCTGTGCCTTTCTGTAGCAGGGCGATCATCCTCTGCGGCAGGGGAATTACTGAGATGACCTCCCATAGCATTCATTAAGCTCAAACTTGCCCACTTATGTCAAAAAAAAATGCTTCTGGACCCAGTATTTCTTTGCCTTTGGGGCAGATTTATTCATGTGCCACCAGGGGGCAGGCTTAGAAAGAAAGCTGAGCTGAACAGGGTATGTGCATGGTGCAGTAATGCTGTGGATGCTACAGCCCTCCCTGCAACACCTCTGGGACCACAGGGCTATCCTGGTACCCAGATATGCCCTGTGTTTGCTGGGACATGACAAACAGCACCATCCCTGGGTGTGTGAGCATGTTGTCATAAGGAGAGGCTGATGCAGCCATCACGCATTTGTGGATTCAGTCACAGGAATGGGAAGGGGAACCTGAGTTGATCAGCTCGATATGAGAGAGGAGGGAAATTAGAAAGCTAGCTGGAAAGACCAAGTCCAGAGCCACAGAAGACTCAGAATGTACCCCAAAGTAAATAGTAAAGTAATGTGATAGCCCTCTTTCCTTAGTTGCTGGTCAGATCATGAAATTAGAAGCCCTGCAATCATAGCTTCCAGGAGGAGAACACTCAGAATCCCACACTTCCCATCCTCTGCAGAAGCCTCTCTGAATGGCATCTAGGGAGAGAGGGAGCACTGAGATGTGTTTCTTTTCCTTTCTGGATCACCTTCCAGTTACAGATTAAAGAAACAGGAGGGTGTGCCACACAAATAAGCCTCCCCGCTCCCGCCCTGGGCCCGCCCCTCCTCCAGCTCCTACACAGCCTTTTCTTGTCCATCTCTCTGACCTTCTCAATGCATGTGGAGGCACACAAAAAGGAAAGGACTGGCGTGACTCTCAGACAAGTAGGAAAGTGAGTCACCCAAATGCCAGATTTCAAAATAGCTTAGTCCCTAAAACTGACCACGGGCAAGTGGTCCACAGTCTTCCACGCCACCTACTGGCTACTTGGAAGTATGGCTCTGTTTGTTTGCAGAAGCGGCTGTAAGCTGTCTGCTGTTCACATTCTTCACCCTGAAGTCTTCCCTCAATCCCTTCAGCAACTTCCATCCATTTCCATTTGGTGAAATGGTTCAGAAGTAGTCATTGTGGTCTCTTATTTTATCTAAAATTCACATCCTTCCAAAATTGAAATCCTATTTATGATTTGGCCACAAGGCAGCTGAGCAGGGTTAGCTAATATTCCAGTTCAAAGCCTGTTTTCAAGATCTTTAATCTTTGTGGCTCTGCTCTGGCTCACCTCCAAGTTTCCACTGTGTCTCTAGAGCCTACAGGTGACCACAAGACCTTTCTCAGTAACTTTGATACTCGACTCTCCTGCCAAAGTAATAGGTTTCACAGGGTTAAGTGTCACCAAAACCAGAAGGCACATCAAAATTTTAAGCCTGCCCTTCACAAGCAAAAAGCCTGCAAACTAGAGGGAATGGAGGACATACCCCGGGGAGCCCAATTTAATAAAGACCGGAGTTTGCAATAGTCCTTTAAGTTCCTTAAAGAAAAGCATCATGTTAGTCCCAGCATTCCTGAGGCAGAGGCAGGGGGATCTCTGAGTTCAAGGCCAGCCTGGTCTACATTGTGAGTTCCAGGTCAGCTGTTCTACATTTTGGCCGGGAGAGCTAAAAAAAAAAAAAAAAAAAGTGATTAGGTATTCTGGGAGATCCCAGACAGGTAGTGCAGGTCCATCATCCCAGTTACTGGAGAGGCTAAGGCAGGAGGATTGCAAGTTCAAGGCCAGCCTGGGCAACTTAATGAGACCCTGCTTCAAAATAAAAAATCAAAGAGGGCTCCTTGAGGGCAGTGTGCCAATTGTCCAGGCCAGGCTGAGCAGGCACTGAAGGAGGCCCTCATGAACTGGTCATCAGTCACCCTCATTTCAGCTGCCTGGGCTCTTCACCAGGAAAGGGGTCTGTATACCGCAGGATGTCCTCAGTGCCTTCTCCCAAACACCTCTTTCCTTGTAGTCTCCCCTCATCCCAGCTTCCTTGAATTCTTTCCCCTTGTCCTTCCCATCTGAGATGCCTGGCTATCATCATTTCTGCGTGTCCTAGGGATAGTAGAATAAGATCTTCCTTTACCCCTTTAGTATTGGGGGCCTCCCAAATCCCTTTTTGCTTTTTTGAGTATTTGGAAAGAGGATAATGAAATCTGGGCTCCCATACCTGATCTCACTATGGGGCATCCTGGTCGTACCACCTAGGGATAGCAATCTATCTTGACCCACTGGGTGTCAAGGAGCTGAAAGAAGAATGGTGGATACCTATGAGAAAAGAACTTACTGGAAATCTGTGGACTGAGAAAGCCTAGCCAGGTGGCATTAACAGACCAACAAGCACATGAACAAAGTCCTACTTCTTTTCTCTAAAGGTCATAAGTCAGCTAAGTATAGACTGTCACCAAGTCACTCCTATATATAACTGTTCTGGCCCCAGCCAGTGGTCAGTCTCTCAGACTGAGCTGAGCAATGTCCCAGCCTCTTAGGGCCCAGAGCATGGCACAGAGCCAGTTGGGAGCCAGCATTGAGGGGTGAGGCCTGTGGGTTCCATCTGCTTGCATGCCATTCCTCTCCTGGCCCCACATTTTTACCTCTCCTGTCTCCTCTGTTCCTCTCTGATGATCCTCACTATGGTCCCCATCCTCTACTGCTCCTCCCCCTGGATCTGCAAGTCCAAACATCTCTCACCACCCAGCCATGATGTTCTGAAAGCACAAAGACTACACTGAGAAGCTACACTTGGCTGTTCTTGTCGATGCCTGGGCCCCTGTTTCATTCCTTTGGCCCAGATCTCAAGGTCCACTACCTCATCTCCTGAGCCATCCTCACTGACAAGAAAACTACTTTCCATAAGTTTGCCTACCTCAGTCTATTCCTGGACCCTCCTTCCCTCCCATCCCCAAAGGTTGATTTTTCTACTAGTATGCCTTCCCTCGTGTACCAGTGAGACTTGATAAAGTCTTCTACCTGTTCATGCTCTCCTGGACCCATCACATGAGAACTTCCTGACAGTTAGGAAAGCATTGGCATTTCCCTGCATCTGGTTCACCTGCCTCCCCCAGTATGAGGACTTCAAGAGAAAAACACCTCATCTCTCTGAGCCTTTATGACTCCCCTCACTCCAGCCCTGATCTCTGGACACTGCTTTCTGACCTTGGATGCTCCTTCTCCCTGCAGAGAGAGACTCTCGTGAACATGAGGAGCCTACCACTTCTGAGATGGCTGAAGAGACCTACTCCCCGAAGATCTTCCGGCCCAAGCACACCCGAATCTCCGAGCTGAAGGCCGAGGCTGTGAAGAAGGACCGCAGGAAGAAGTTGACCCAGTCTAAGTTTGTGGGGGGTGCTGAGAACACTGCCCACCCCCGAGTCATCCCTGCACCTGAGATGAGGCAGGAATCTGAGCAGGTGAGTCTCAGGGATCCTTTCCTCCCTGACTTGGCCACAACCCCAGTATCTGGCCTTCCCCTGCATCTACTTGAGCATCTGTAGCAGAGGACTGAGAACTTATCTAAGTAAGTGGAAATAGAGGTAGCGCTCCTTCAGGGAAAGTACCTGCCAGCACAGTGATACAACCCCTAGACCTATGGCCCCTAGACCTATGGCCAGTCCCAGGTGTAGTGCATCTGGAGAGCACGGCCACTGGTCTTTATGAATCAACAGGGTAGAAAAATGGAAGTTGAGTCACCTGTAAGACAAAAGCAGGGAAAGTAGGTTCTATGTGTGACTGCATGCATGCTTGCTGCACGACCCAGGCACCAGGCAGCTGAGCATGAAGAAGGATCTTTGCTAGCAGCCAATAAAGGCAATAGCTTTTCCCCCAGAGTCCCTTTGGACCCCACACGTGAGCCACACATCTGTACATCTGGGTAGTTTCCACTTAGGTCGTGCTGTGCCTCAACATCCCTCCTGTCTTCCAGGGCCCCTGCCGCAGACACATGGAGGCTTCCCTGCAGGAGCTTAAAGCCAGCCCTCGTATGGTACCCCGTGCCGTGTACCTACCCAACTGTGACCGCAAAGGATTCTACAAGAGAAAGCAGGTATGGGCCCCTGCACCCTGCTCCCAGGTTCAGATGGCTCCTGGCACCTATCAGGAAAACTCCACATCAGACAAGTACCTGAGATTTCTACTATTAATGAGTTAACGTTTCCCAGACTTGCAGTATCTGCTCACAGAGCTCAGTGGTGATCCTCACTCCCTCCTAGGAGAGAATTCTTGGCCTCTACTTCTCACAGATCCACCTTACCTATCTGTATGGGTCACCTTCAAGATCAAACTGTACCACTACATCATACTGCATGTTGTTTGTGTTCCATAAATTCTTTGTTGAGTCGGGCACATGCCTATAACCCCAGAACCCAGTACTAGGGTGGCAGAGACAGGAAGATCATTGCAAGTTTGAGGCCAGCCTGGTTGGTATAACAAGTTCCAGGCCAACCAGGGCTACATAGCAAGACCCTGCCTCAAAACAAAAATGAAACAATTTTTTTTAATGGCTCAGCGGTTAAGAGCACTGGCTGCTCTTACCCAGGTTCAATTGCCAGCACCCATGTGATAGTTGTCTCCATAACTCTAATTTCAAGGGCTCTAACACCCTCTTCTGGCCTCTGTGGTTATTACACACCTGGGTGCATTTACATATAGGCAGACAAAACACTGATAGTATAAAATAAAATAAATAATCCAAAAAAATTTACAACGGGTCCTCCAGGTGAAATCATTTCACATCCCTTCATAGCCAGGCTCCACTTTGAGCAACCCTAATTCTGGGTAGCCAGTAATTGTCTGCCTTATAGCAGTGGTTCCCAAACTTCTGCAGACCTAGGAACCACCTCATGAAATTGTTGAAGTGCTGATTGTCAGGCTCCACCCCTAGAGTTTATGATTGACAGATCTGGTATAGACTCTGAGCACTTTACATTTCTAACAAGTTCAATGGTGAGCTTGGAACTACTTAAAGGGTCCCCTAACCTAAGTGGCCATGATCATAAGTCATCAGATCATGCTCCTCCCTTGAGGATCCCTAAAGAATAGAATGTGGATGGTCCCAAAATGAGTAACAACAAGTAGATTGCAGGAGCTACCCCACAGCAGGCTGCCTGAACTATATTTTCTCTGGGCTCACCCATGAGATGGGGATACTGGAACCCCAGGGCTTGGGTGTACCCCCTCAACTTTCTGGGATAGGAAAAAAATCAGATACGAACAGGGTCTCAGAGTACAGCTGTCTCACGCCCCGTTGCCATTCTTCCCCAGTGCAAGCCTTCCCGTGGCCGCAAACGTGGCATCTGCTGGTGTGTGGACAAGTATGGGATGAAGCTTCCCGGCATGGAGTACGTCGACGGGGACTTTCAGTGCCACACCTTCGACAGCAGCAACGTTGAGTGATGTATCCCCTCCCGTCCTCCCCCTCTTCCACCCCCAGCCCCGACTCCAGCCAGCGCCTCCCTCCACCCCAGGACACCACTCATTTCATCTCATTTAGGGGAAATATATATGCCCATATATATTTGAGGAAACTGAGGACCTCGGAATCTCTAGCAAGGGCTCAACTTTGAAAATGGCAGCAACAGAGATGCAAGAAGATAAGGAGACATTCCCCCACCCCAAAATGGTATTCTTTTTGAAGCAAGTTGAATGAACAGAGAAGGAAAGAGAGAAAGAGTGAGAGGGAGGGAGAGATGGAAAGAAAGAATTGGTGTAGAAAAGAAATGACAGCATTAGGAAAAGAAAGAGAAACAGCAGGAAGCAAAGGGCACCTCAGCCAGGACTGGATCTGTCCTTCTCTTCCAGCCCTGACTTAGGGTCGGGGAGAGGTTGGGGCACTCAAAAGTGTGACTTGAGTTGTGTCATTCAATGACACCCTTGAAATGTACCCAGTTTGGATCTGTCAGGGGGAGAAAAGAAACAACAAAACGTGTCAGTGCCTGTCTCTCAGGACTGTCGCTTCCTCCCTCCAGCCAGCAGCACAGAGGTGGCTGAATCCTTGCCCTTCCTCTCCTCATACCCAAGTGGAGGGTTGTCTCATCCCCAAATTTATAAAGACTAAAATGCATTCCATCCCTCTGAAAACAAAGGAAATTTGTAATTGAATGGTTTTAGATAGGTTTTTCCTAAGCAGATGGTGAACTCCTTTACTGTAAACAAATTTCACTCTTGATAGATTTTCAGAAGTCAGCACCCACCTCCATATTGGAAAGACACGATTTTCCAGGATGACAGCAAACATTCAGAAGCATGTGGCTTCAGTCCCTCATTTCACTCAACTCACAGCTGGCCCAGCAGCCTCTGTGGAGGAGGACAGGCTGAGAAAATGAGGGGCTTGTATTTACCTACAAGGCTCCATGTAGACTTATATAGGCATATAAATCTATTTCTTTTTTTTATTTTCTCTTCTTTCCTTACAAAGGTTTGCATTACCTCTTCAAAGTAGTTCCTTTGGGGCACTGAGGAGCTTTCTCATTCTGGGAAATCCAGGAACATCCATATTCAACTAATACAACCCAGAACACCACCCTTGCCTGCCCCTGGGCAGCATTTCCCACGAGCCACATACTTGGCCCTTTTGTGGGGCATAGTGTTGGATCTTCTCATGATTCCCCCACCTGGGTTTAAACATACCCACCAAGCCAGGTAGCTGCCAGCACCAGATGGTGCATGAACTAAGCAGCCCAGGTTATCCCACTTCAGCCTTCCAACCCCCAGGAAGTAACTATCTCACACCACACCACATGAGCCCACTACATCCAACTTTAACCCACTATCCTGTCCCAGTCTTTCTTTCTATCTGGGCAGACCTGCATTTTGAAAGTCTCCCTCAGATGTCAGGTTGACAGAGAAAGAGAGAAACCGACATGAGAGATGGTGAAGGGCCAGGTGACGGGGGAGAAGTCTCCACAAAGGAAGTAGTAAACGGAGCAGGACCAGGAGGATAGAGGAACAGAAAAGACACAGAAAGAGGGGAACTCCAATAGATCTTTCCTTGGCTTCTCCAGCTGATAAGCCCTCTAGAATTCTAGGGGGAAATGGGAGAACAGGGTCTGAGGTAGAAATGAGCTCAATCCAGGTCATAGAGCCAGGACAGTGGGTAATTTAGGTGGGTTCTAGACATGAGAACTAAGCATTTAAAGGACTAGAGGCTGGGCTCAGACATCCCACCTTCAGCCCATCCTGAGGGACTGAGGCCAAAGAAGCTTTCAAGCTCGTCATCCATTCTGGCCAGTGCATGCTTCCTCCCTGGGGTGGAAGATAGTGGAAGGCCCAGGATGACCCAGGCATGGATCTTCAAGGCTGCTGTCATTTTTGGCAGCCAGATTCTGGTCCAAGAAAAACCCCATTGTCCACTGGCTTCTTCAACAAATGGATGGCCTCGGGACTGTCCTAGAAGACTGAAGACAGCCTGCCAGGAGATAGGGCTCAGACATTGTTAAAGGAGGCCCTTTCTTGCCATGGACACAGCTCTCTGCTCTTTCTTGATGGCATGGTACAGTAAACATCCCCTCCAACACCAAACTTGGGGCAACAAGAAGGGACTGCAAAGAAGCAAACACATTTCAACTCATGGGAAACTGATGGCTATGGAGCTTGGGGAATGTCTCTTATTCCCTGGACAGGACAGTTGGCTGGGGATGGAAGAGGTGGTTGATCTTCTTAAGACAAAGGGCCTGATGGGGATGGCAGCATGAGGACTTACCGGACCTGTGGGGTCAGTGCACCCATCTCCCTGCACAGTGTCCCTGGCCCCCCAACTCACACTTCTCCATGCCTTAGGCCAGTATCCTAAATCTTTTCCATGACACGCTTCTTTCTGCCATTCTTTCTTTGGATCTTGAGCAGTCATCTACTAGGATTTGCCAAGTGGATACCGGGGTACCGTTGCCCCTAAGAAAAGACTGAGCCGGAACTGCTTACTCCCACCACCCCTCCCAGGCTTCAACCTGATTTCTGAGAAGGGTGTTCTCTTCACCCCACAATTTCCTGGACATTGAATGAGCCTCTACCCCTTGCATGGGCTCTTTGTTGTGAGCCACAGATAGGGGACATTGGACAGACACTTTGGCCTTCCCAAGTTTAGCCTACTAACCCAAACTTGTGAGTGTCTCCATTACTTATAGAGAAAGGTTTGTCGAGGCAGCTGCCCTTTCCCTAGAGGAAGCTGGACCTTCACAGACAGCTTTCAAATGAGAGGTCTGGCTGAGCCCTGGGTGTGAAGACCGCAGAAGAGAGTCACTGAGAGAAGAGGAATGGTCCTCCCCTTGGCACAGGGAGAGAAGGCAGGCTTGCAGTGGTCCCAGCATGCCCTGAGCAGGGAGTTTCTTGGCTTCTGGTTGGTCTTTGTTCCCTTACAGGCCTCTGTTTGGGGTTTATCTATGGCCATAGGTCTAAGTGTTGCCTGTCCCCAACCCCACTCTCTCATGAAAGGCTTCTTCCCATCCCCTTGTGACTGATGCCTCACTCAAGCAGTGGAAAAGATACCTCTCTTCCCCCACTCACTACTGCCTGGTGACTGAAGGAGGCCTAGCCAGGACCCATTCTCCATCTCCAGCCAGTCCCAACCCACCAGGATAAAGCGGGACACCTGGGAAGGAGAAGACTCCATGTTTCTCTGACAGCCAGGCCTAGACAGACAGGCTTGGAAACACCTGCCCCACATCGGGGATGAGAGGAGACCCAGGGGGCTGTCTGTGGTCACTCCTCTTCTCCCTAGAGACCCTCTTCCCACTACCACCTGTCTCCATGGTAACGTACTCACCATCCTCCCACAGCCCAGCGCCTTAGCAGATTAG